GAAACTTGCCTGTGTGTCTGGAGGCCTGGCAGCTCCCCGGCAAGCAGTTTGAGTTATGCCCATGTTTCCCTGGGAGGGGAGACCAGTCCACGGCACGGTTTCTTTTCCTCTTTACCTTTTTCCCCCTTCTTCCTGAGGTCACATCTGTTTTTTCTGTTATCTTTTTCTCCCCCCCCCCCCCATCTCTTCAGCCTTGCTCTCTTTTTCTCCACAAAAAGTGTCTGAGTCAGCAGAACGGCCAGCCCCTTTCAAAAAAAAAAAAAAGAAGAAGCAAAGGAAAAGGGACCTTTATCACAACTCTCTGGAGAGCAAGATTCCCGTGCACCCTTTTGTCTACTACAGAGGTGTTGTTCCATTTCAGATTCAAATAGGTCCTGCTGTTTAAAGTAGTTGGAGAACTTCACAGCTTTTGGCTGAGTTCTGCTTAAATTAGGATCGCACCCTGCTTTGTCTGAATAAAAAAACAAAAGCATCCACCTCTTAAAGGTGGCTGGATGAAGAAAGTTTGGAAATGTTCTTTATTTTATCTAGTTCTTTATTTTTTCTTCCAAGAGTGACGTTTTCATGGTCACATGATCTGAAGTGCACTTCACTTCCTCAGCTGTCAGTCGGATTGGCCCAGGCGACCTGGAGTCACAAGACACGGTTATGCAACTCCTACAATACACCATGATGATGTTCTGGTTCACTAACAGACGTCCAGCTTCTTTTACAGTGGACAATCATGAGGACAAAACATTAGAATGTTGACCTTAAGCTATTTTTATGGAGTCATGGAGTGCATCTTTGCACCTCTTGAAAGACATAAATGAGCAGGAGACTGGAACAGCCCCACAGCAGGAGGTCACCAGCGGAGGTCACATGTTCATAAGCCACTCCAGGCAAACTAGATTCCACATCTTTTCACCTTGTTTTTTAGTCGTGTATGCGGCCGATCTTTCATGTTTTCCTTTTTTCCTTTTTTGCGTTGTGCATTCTCCCACTGGTGCAGAAATGTTTGTGTGTTTGACCGCCGCAGACCTAAGTTTAGGTGAGAATTATCCCATTTCTGGCTCGTGTTGGGGTGGGGATCCTTCCGTCAACCTAAAACACTGTTATAAATAAACGTGACATTTATGAATTCAGCAGTGTGGGATGCACTCTTACTTTCCTTCCCCCTGCGTTTCGGAGTACGTCTGATGAGAGCAGGGCCGATAGGTTCATGGAAGACTTCAGGGAGAGCGTCAAACGAGAATGTTGTCAATGTAAGACATTAAGAGCATGACAGCAGCGAGTAGAGTGCATAGCTGAACCACGCATGGTTTTTGCCCCGGGCCTCATGAACCCGAGGAGAAGGAGTCAAAGACATTCTTTAGTAGCGAGGAACGAACAGGCCGTGCACGACGTGGCTGAGGCAGTATGTGTGCCAACTCAGGGGCCTGAAATTCAGGTCAGGGGAACAGACACACATATGCTGGAATGCAAAGTAAAGGAACAGTGGCAGTTTTGGGGGGAGAGGCGGTGGATTTCTTAGGGTGACAGAACGAGCTGGCCGAGTTGAACAGGAATTGTTCCCTGAAAGTCTGTCTTTTCTTTGGAAGTTTAGGTTCGAAGTTGATTGTGCATTGATGGACTGGAAATACAGCTGCAGTTCATGTAATCAGATGTCCCCTGCACACTGTACCGGGTGGCTTCTTAGCTGGACAGAACACTTGTTTTGTTTAGTATCTCTGTTGAAAATATAACTTATCCATCACTGTTTATTATCCTATGATGCCGAAGATCTGAATTGTGGGGCTTTTTGTGGAACTAAACCCTCAACTTTGACTGCAGGCTGCTGTTCTAAAGCTGCTGTTCTATAGAGCTAATAGTCCAACTTTTACTGTCAACAAGGAGACAGGAATCTTCTCTCATGCCACCAGATGCCAGTGAGTTAATGATTTATACAGGTCATTATAAAACCTGAGCTCTCCAGGAGAATGATGCCTTTATTGAGCCTGCTGAGCTTGTCTCTACGAGTCTGTCCAACATATGCAAAAGTACTTTTGGGTGAATGTGGCAGAAGGCAATTCATGTGCAGGTCTGTCATTTGGTGGAGCTTTTTAAAGTTCCAGAGATGCAGAGCGAAGCTTTTCTTTGTAATCTCCTTTCTGTTTGCTCACCTCTTAAAACCTCTGTTTGACATCTGTTTTTCTGTTAACGCCACTGTAAGCTGACTGTGCTGAGGAAGGGATTTCATAATGATCCATGCTCACACAGGGGATTGTTTCGGTACACGAAAACAATCAAATGAATTCAATTACACAGTATTCCCAAGCACGCCCGCTGGAAATTCCACTTTACTGTGTAGTAAAGCTTCCACGGTGAGTGAACAGCAAAGTAGTTCCTTTTACTTTGTGTTTAATCACATAAAAATAGTGCATTGGTTTCTGTTTGCTGCTCGCGTGTGACAGCAGTTTCACATGAGAGCAAGAAGTGTCCGTGTTCCTGCAGTCAGGTAAATGTGTTTACGGGGGACTTGGATCCTTCTGCCTCGCCTTTTAAATTGTCACTGCACACAGTGGGCGTGGGCGCGCCGACATCGATGACAGAAAACAAACACAACCTATCTCAAACAACTGACATTTCATATCGGCACGACAAAAACACCTCCATGTGTGTGTGTGTGTGTGTCTGTGTTTTATCTCACTGGCGTGGGCAGCGTGGCAAGCCGCTCAACCAGTTTCACATCAACCTGCTTTGGAAACGTCTTAGTTTTCTGCTATTGCTTTGCTCTTCGACAGCACATCAATTCTGTGGTAAATGTAAACATGTTCAATGCAGGCCTGGAAGGCGACAGGGAGACTAATGAAGGGCTGCTGAAAGGTTGTGAGTGTGCGTGTGGTGGTTCTCTGCAGGCCCCTGGGCAGGGTCCCTCACCACCTCAAACCTCCCTCCCATCTGCCTTGTTTTCCACAGGAACCTGCCATCCAGATGTAGAGCCACTCCACTGACAGCCTTGAATTCCAGGGCCTCTCTCTGGTTATCCACACTCACGCGAACTAAGCCCTAAGTTCTTTTTTTTTTTTTTTTTTTGACGGATCAGAAGAAGTCAACAAAATTACTTTGACAAATCTTTTTTTTCTTCAAAATGATGACCGAACTGAGCCACTATGTTTGCAGGTAAAACTGGCAAACAAGAACACGGTAGATGTTCTTTATTTTAGAAATGGTTAGAGATTTGATGATTTTGTCCCGGTGCTTTTGAATAGGTGCTTGTGGGTAGTGTCTCATTTTCTCCTTTTTAATTTGTTTTTTTTACAAAGCAGGGGAAATGACCATTGCAGCTCTGGCAGTGACAAGTGTTCCTGCTTACTTCTGACCTTTGTGCAGCGGGTTTGGCTCTGGGCCAGATGTGTCACATTTGGCAGTAGGCATGAAAAGAGGGATTCACGGCATAAAGTTCACTCTGTGGCCACCATCATACGAATGTGTGGGGACCCCAAGCAGCTCCACGTCTCGGAGTGTGCGTCTGTCAGAAATCTGCAGGTGGCTGTGGTCACACTTAAGGAACAAAACAAGAAGCCTCATTGTTGGTCTCCTTGTTCTCCCGAAGTGTGAGCAGTCAGCAGTTTAAAAAAGCTTGTTTCAGTTTTAGAGCTCGTAGTTTTTTTGACCAAAAGTTCCTTTTTTTTCTGCTCCTTTTTTTTTTTGCTGTTTTGGCACCAGGCCTCTGATGATGAGAGAAGTGGAGGGGGGAGGAAAGGCCACAGGTCACACACTAATCATCCCGTGTTCCCCAGCACATGAAAACAGTCAGGTGGTTCATTTAGCTGCACACGATTTAGCTGCCACAATCTCTCAGTGTCCAAATGTAGCCAGTACGCCGTGTTACTTGAGCGGTAGAACAGCAGAACCAGTTGAAACCTGACGGAGCGCATCTCTGCGCTCCGTCAGGGACACCGCGCCACCACTCAGGTTCATCTAGTGCCACTCTTTGTATGGCGCTTTCCGGCTATCTCGTAAACATTGCGTGAGCAGAACTCTGCATGGGAATAACAAACGTGAGTGAGGGAGGGTCCTTGCCCCCCTCTCCCTGCTGCAAATTGGCTGCGTGCTCTTGAGAATAGATGGCAGTGCGTGGCGGGGCAGCACATGCTGCCGAGAGGGGGCCGTCAGGGAAGCTATGCAGGGTTCAGCTGGGTCCTTTCGTATTGATATGCATCAGGAACACGGAGTTTCTCCCAGACAAAGACGTGTCAAACGGGGGCTCTCTGCCAGACTTTATTTTGCTCGCTGCAGTAACTTCCTGGAGTGCAGTTCAGCGCGAGTTAGCGCCCAGTTTAGATACTCTGCAACAGGTCCGCTTCATGTTTTCCAGAGTTTTCAGTCTTCGTGCTGAGCTAAGCCAACCATCTGCTGTGGCTTGTGCTTCACATTAACGGTACTAGACATTCAGAGTAGTAGCATTCTCCTCATTTCACTTGGAAAAATGTTGAACTAATACATACTTGATTTGCAGATTAACCCATAAGGTTTTGCAATTTCCTGTAAAAGACAAAACCATTTTTTTGTTCTGTCTATAAAGGTTAAAGAGTTCATGATTTTGCTTATTTGGTAAACAACCTTTCTTCATTTTGGATATACATAATGTGAGCAGTATTTTCTTCTCAAGTTGAACGTTGTTTTGCAGGATAAAGATTTGAAATGCCATGCTCCATAAAATTAAAAAATCATCATTAAATTGTGTATTTTTAAGGGCCAGGTCTGTCTCCATTTACATGTTTAAAGTCTTCTGAAGGCTTGAATACAAATTGTGCGTGTTGTGCGTGGTAAAAGGGATAGGAAAGCCCATTTCTGTGCTCTGCATTCCAGGTAAAGGACATTTCGCGGTGGGGCTTCAGAGGAGTAAGCCGGTGAAAACACTGACTTTTCCAAACGGGGGGAGGTGGGCAAAAAGGCAGAGTATTTGGGGGAACGCCTTGTTTTTGTTTTTTATTACAAGAGAGCGGTGGGGGTGGGGTGTGGGGTGTGGGGGCAAGATGGTTGGCTCAAGTTACCCTTTGGATGATGTGTGTGTGGAGCGCTGCCTGAACAGAGTGCAGCTGAGCACACTGCACTCAAAGGAGCCTTTTTTCAACCCAAGAGAAAGTCATCCGTTAGCTCGGACCCGGCTCCCTTCCCAAAAAAAACACCCCTTCCCCCCTCCCGCCGCTGACCCCCTGCTCCTTCCTGCCTGCTTCCCCTGGCTGCAGACCAAGTGCTTCATGTGGCTGGACTGGGGCAGGTTGGGGATGGCCCCCGCCCTGGTCCTCAGAAGACACTTGTTTTCCAGTGGGATGAGGGTGTTGGTGTTGGCAGGGTGGAGCAGAAGGTTGAAGGGGTTCAGTCGGAGTTGTCCCCGGGGAGAGCAGGAAATCAAAGAGGGAGAGCACTTTCACACGGCCTTTTCATGCAGAAACACTGTGCACCTGTAGAGAGGAGAGAGGCCGTTTTAAAAATAATTCTGCATTCCTTGTTTTAAAAATTCCCACGTATCTTTGCAGCAGCAAACAAATCCCTCATAATCATGTCCAGGAAGTTAATTATGATTGGACTCCCTTGTTGCCTGCAGGCTATCTCTGAGATGGACTGAGCCGCTGAGAGGCTCTCACTCTGTGTAAAACAAATACAGGTGACGCCCTTCCTGAGAGAAAAAAAATAAGCAAGGAGTAGACTTTGTGCATGTGTGAGACGTGCACACTAGCCGAGACCGCCAGTGGCCTCACCGAGCCTCATCCCTCCGATTAGGGTTATTGTGGTTGTAGTGATGGCCAGAGGAGATCTCACATTGTTGTGGTTTGTTTACCGTTCAGCCGGAGTTAGCCAAAGGAGCAGGAGAAAAGGGGGAAGGCTAGCTTGGAACAAAGAAACAGTTCACAGACCAGCCTGACTAATGGAAGGTTGAAAGGCTTTTATGAACAAATGTGAATGGACCTGGTACAGAGGGGGGACATGCTGATTAAAAAAAAAACTGAACAAGGGCAGTCCTTTGAGATGACATACAGTATCCATAGCAAGTCACTCCACATACACGCAAAGATTAGATCTGCCTTATCCTGGCTATCACTAAAACAAACATCCTAATGGTGCGTCCAGTGAGCTGTTTACTTGAGAATGCAGGGTTGTTGGCCTGCAGGGCTTTGGCAAGGATGCACGGTTTTCTGGGGTCACAATCTGTGTCTTGGATTTCAGTCAGCCCAGTCACTAGAGGAGATGAAATGGTCACCATTTTTGTCAATAATGTCTCTTGCAGTTTTAGTACTGAGATGCATCATGTTTGACATTTTGTGAAGCTCTGATTCATGGTTAAAAGGACAGTTTCGTGATGCAGAATTCTGCTTTAACCCAGTTTCTGATTGTCCTGCTGATTGTGTGACGTGTCGGTGGACAATGAGAGCAGCTTGCACTCACGGAAACAGTAGAAAAACAGTGTAGCTCCAGCCATGCATCATCATCTCCAAACAGTAACGATGATTCCTCCCGATAAAAAAGGCGCGCAGCAGGGAGAGGTTCTGCTAAACCGGCACGCATGTTACTCAGAATAGTAGGAAGTAAACGTCAGTGTGCTGCTGGGATGAGGGATGCATTGGCTCCTATTTCCTCTCTTTTTTTACGATTTGGCTTAAAGTGTGGTGTTTGTGACGCATTTAGGCACTGACAATTTTCAGTTTGTTGGCAGTACTGTCCCTGTAATGCCCCCCTAGTTTGGACACAGAAGGCGAGTGTTCAGAAGTGGTGGCGTTGCTGCATATTAGTACCAAATGTCGCCCTTACATCTGTGTGAACGTCACAACTAAAACTTCAAAAACTCAAAACATGGAGCTTTGCATGGAAATGTAACCAATTATTTGAAAAGATTCAATTAAACAGAAGATGCTTGTTAAACTTAAAAGAACTGAATGAATTTGGTTCATTTTTCCAAAGTACTGTGCAGCCTTTCCATTGTTTTTTTTATCCATTTACTTTTGTTGTGAATGAGGAGCAAATGTTTAACAAGCGTAACCACTCAGACTCCATGTAGTCTCGACCCTCTCGGAGTCAAAGTCACAAGCAAAAGCAAAACTGCAGGGCATCAGGCCCGACTGAGCAGGGAGCTCAGTGAGCTGCTCGTGTTTTCGAGCACAAGATCTCAGGACATGAAAATCAGCTAGGAACATTCATTTGCCTTTGCTACTTAGGGTGGTGCATGGATGAGCTCCTCTTGATCTGAACGTGTGTGTGTGTTTGCGTGTGTGTGTGTGTGTGGGCAGCCTCTCACTTTTTGCTGGTGGACAGGTGCTGATTGTTTTTGTTCCTGTGTGCTTGCAGACGTGCCAAACTACGGCTCTATTTGGAGCAGTTGAAGAAGCTGGTGCCTTTGGGTCCAGACAGCACGAGACACACCACGCTGAGCTTGCTGAAAAGGGCCAAGATGCACATCAAGGTACCAAAGGAAAGAAAAGGACAGAAAGACAAAAAACAGCAAAAAAAGAGGAAGAAACCCTGTTAGGACAAGCACAATTTGTCAGTCTTTAAGCAGAAAAAGTCTTTAAGAGGAAAATAATATATATAAAGTGGCAGTTTAGTTTGTTTTGTGGCCTGCTTTAAATGTGGGATTGTTTTCTAACCTCTCAGTTGGAATGGTTGAGTCAGGAAACAAAACAAAAAGTTGAGAAAAAAAACAATATGCTACAAAGAAAGACCAGCAACATTTGACTGCTGATCTGCAGACGTTTCCCATCTGTTCACAGACTCGGTAAGACATTTAAATAAGTAGGTACGCAGCTGCACTAGTGACACAGAAAAGCTCTAACGTTTTCAGCTCATGCATGAAAAGTCTGAGCGCTCTGCTGCAGCAAAGGATGATGGGTATGTACACTTCAGGTCGCGCTGAACCGATGTTGCTGTTTACAGGCAGCAACAGTGTGGTTGGTGGAAAATCCAGACGCACTGAGTTTTAACCCTTCATTTCCTGTTTATCATGCATGTCCTCTCTGCTCAGAGGGTGTGCGTTGATTCTCGTCACTGTGTTGTGTTTTCTCGTATCACAGGAGGCCTTGTGCCCTGCATGGTTTTGATTCACCACTGAAAACTTTCTGATGCAAATGGGTTCAAAATGTAACCGCACACTGATTCAAATTTGACAAGAGTTTGCCTTTATTTTTAGCTTAGGACCAGGGAGCCTCACAGAATTGTTTGGTGCTCTCGCCCATTAAATGTTGAAGTTGTTGTGTGGTAAAAAAAAAGAAATCTTGGTCTAAGGAGCTTAGAGCTTAAACATAATTCTGAAGTATTGATGTGTGAAAGCTGTGTTTCCTCAAAAATCCTAATTGTTGTTTATAGTTTCAAGAATTTGGGGGAAAATATTCAGGCCATGTGTTGAGCAGTTTCTTTTCTTTGTTTATTACAAGAGCAGAATTTCTCCACAGTCTTGTTGTTTGCTTTTTCTACGCAGCCAGCAGAAGCTTGGAAGTGTTTAGGGCTCCATCACAGTAACTCCCGGTCTAATATCGTAATACACAAACAAGGAAAGGGGATTGGAACTGTGCGTGAGTAAAGATTGTGTAAACAGGGCGGCGGTGAACACGAGCACTAATACTTGGCTTTCCTGTGTGCGTCTGCAGAAGCTGGAAGAGCAAGACAGAAAGGCGCTAAACATGAAGGAGCAGCTTCAGAGAGAGCACCGCTACCTCAAACGCCGCCTGGAGCAGCTCTCGGTGTCGGGGTCCGTGGAGCGCATCCGCACTGACAGCATGGGCTCCACAATCTCCACCGACTCAGAGCAAGGTGCGTTGGGTTCAACGGGTAAATCTTAATCATGGATTCAGCTTCTGCTCTCAAAGCAGGAGCAGGTTTTGCCAAAGGCTCAGAAGCTGCATCTAAATGAACCCCCGGGGGGGCAGTAAATAGCGGACAGGCAGCTTCCTGTGATGCAAACAAGCAGTGACCCGGCCCCCGGCCACGCCCGGCCGGAGCCGTCGGGCTCTGGGTTAACGGCCAGCACCTCCCCTCATAGATAAAGAAGCCGTGCCCTGGCCTTTAGGCTCCGGTGCAGGGAGGTGCAGGGAGATGCGGTGTTATGCGGCAGCTCGGTCGCATGTCAGCTGCAGAAATAACAGAAAGGCAGTAATCTGAGGTCAAACCCCGGCAAATCTCACGAGACGCCTGCGTGTTTCATCTGAGGAGCTCGTTGGACGGTTGAACAGGTGCGCAGAGATAAAAAGGCGGCAGGGGTTGGAGCTTTGCTCTTTTTTTTGTTGTCGTTGTTCTTTGTTCTTTTACACGGATGCATCCTAGAGTTGTGTGGTTGCGCTGTGGGGTCGGAGCACACGTCGACAGAGCTGCTTACCTCCCTGTCTGAGGATTATGTGGCAAAAAAACAAACAAACAACCAGGACACGTTTCATGAAACCTGTGACAGAAGTCAAGTGTTTGAGCAAAAAAAAATCTGATAGTATCCACCTTTGGGCCTTTTCATCTTTATTAGGAGCACACAGTGTCACAGGCTTGCCTGGAATTTGAAGATTTGGACCATTATTGTTTTCTTGCTAATCCTGGGTAAGATAAACACATATGCAGTTGTTTATCAATGGGGGGGGGGGATTACCTGACAGGGAGCGCAAAGATCTGTGTGTTTGCTCCGCTGATCTCCAGCTCTAATCCGCGGGAGCAGCAAGTTCGCCGGTGAACGCGCCATATGCCAAAGCCGAGAGGAGGTGAACGTTTGCTTCCCTCTGTGCGTATTTATAGCGTGGCCTGTCTCTCTTTCGCCCCTGTGTTCAGAGGTGGACATCGAGGGCATGGAGTTCACGCCCGTGGAGGCGGACAGCGTGGACAGCATCAGCGACGGCGAGGAGGAGGAGGACCACTACAGCCTCCAGAGCAGCTCCAGCGACACCAGCTACACGGCCACACATTCCCACAGACTGCAGCC